ACATCGTCATTTTCTCCTCTTCTTTTCGTCAGCATCTTGATCGTTTAGACAAAGTTTTGACGTGTATTTCTAATTCTGGACTTCAGCTAAACACAAAGAAATGCCACTTCACCAACAAGAACATCAAGGTCTTGAGCCACCTTGTCAGCAAAGATGGCGTTCGTCCAGATCCTGACAAGCTTGCTGCCGTGATACGCTTCCCTCGGCCAGAAAATCAGAAACACCTACGATGTTTCCTGGGCCTGGCGCCCTACTTCCGCCGCTTCATTAGCCATTTTGCTGCCATCGCGTCGCCACTGTATAAGCTGCTGACATCCAGCTCAACTTTCGCTTGGAACAACGACTGCGAGCGTGCCTTTCAAGCCCTCAAGCATGCTTGAACATCCCACCCTGTTCTGTGTCATTTCGACGGGAACGCACCTACATGTCTCTACACCAATGCGAGTGGCCAAGCCATTGGAGTGGTTCTTCTACAGCGGGATGCCACTTCGCGGGAAAGAATTATTGCGTATGCTAGTCGTGCTCTTACGGCTGCTGAACAAAACTACTCCATATGTGAGCAGGAATGCCTTGCTGTTGTCTGGGTCATACAAAAATTTCGACCATATCTTTACGGACGCCACTTCACAGTTAATTCCGACCATCATGCCTTGTGCTGGCTATCGTCACTGAAAAACTTGTCTGGTCACCTCGGTCATTCAGTGTGGAGCCCGCCTACAAGAGTACGATTTTATAAGTCTTATCTATAGTTCTGGCAAAAGACACCATTATGCAGATGCTCTCTCTCGCTGTCCCCTTCCACTGTCACCATCGAGTACGTCAGGTGATTGCTCGTCTGGTGGGCAAAATACTGCGTCACCCCCCACATTATCACAACTTGCGGTTATCGACACGCCAACTTCAAATCGCTACACCGAGTTCACCACACGCCAGCGTGATGATCCATATTGCAATAGCATTATTCAACGCCTAAATGGTATATCACCTACTGCTAATGCTAGATTGCGCCGAGAACTACGGCAATTTAAGCTCGATAACAATGTGCTCCATCTTTACGTTTACATTACTGATGGACACCGCTGGGTTCCAGTACTTCCACGTTCTCTGCGTCACCAAGCCCTCGAAGCCTTTCATGACGACCACGTGCAGGCCACTTGGGATGTTACAAAACACAAAGCCACATCAGGGAACGTTTCTTCTGGCCTGGCATCTCTACTTTTAAGGCCAAGTACGTTGCATCTTGCCACATGTGTCAACGGCGGAAGCGACCAACTTCGTCTCCTGCTGGCCTTCTGCAACCCATCCCGTGTCCCGAGACACCTTTCGCCATCGTTGGCATAGGCCTACTAGGACCTCTGCCCATCACGCCAGCAGGTAATCGTTGGATTGTGACTGCTCTCGATCACTTGACACGGTACGCAGAGACTGCTGCACTACACACAAGTTCTGCTTCAGACTTCGCAGACCTTTCTCAACGCCATTGTATTGCGTTACGGTGCACCTCACGTCCTCCTGAGTGATCGCGGCACGTTCTTGTCCACCATAATTGAAACCCTGCTCACAACCTGTGGTACAGTACATAAGACGACGTCAGCCTACAACCCCCAAACTAATGGGCTGACAGAGAGATTTCATGGGACACTAATAGACATGCTATCGATGTACATCGCGCCAAACCACGACAACTGGGATACTATTTTGACTTTTGAGACGTTTGCCCATAACACCGCTGTTCTAAGAACTACTGGCTATTCACCTTTCTACCTCGTTTACCGCCGTACACCGACATTCACCATCGACGTCTCTTCTCTAAATGTTCCAACTGACTCCTCGGCAACCGTATCAGACCAGTTCATCACAAGGCTCGAGGAATGCCGGCAACAGGCCTGCCTTAATACAGAAGCCAATCAGCAAGATCGCAAGCAACGCTACGACAGCTCTCATCGCGACGTCTCCTTCAGTCCGGTGGATGAAGTGTTGCTTTGGACGCCCATTCGTACTCCAGGATAGTGGGATAAATTTCAGTCACGCTTCATTGGACCTTATAAAATCAACGAACAAACGTCACCAGTGAACTACCGTGTCACTCCCAGCGACCTTTCTTCGGATCGTCGCTGTCGTGGTTCGGAGATTGTCAACGTATCGCGTCTGAAGCCATTCGTTCAACGTTCCGTTTCCGTCTAAGACGCGTCCGGGCTGGCCGCTGAAGCGTGGGGGGGGGGAAATAAGTGTGAGCATTATTCATGCGCGTCATCTTGTCATATGTACATGCTCATCATCATCAGTCTGACCTGTGTTGTGGGGCAGAGGCTCGGCAAGTAAAGGAAGTGGCTTGCAGCAAAAACGTTGCCTTACAATATATATATATATATATATATATATATATATATATATATATAGTCACGGGTAATGGGTATGAGCCATAACTGTAGCATGAAATCGCTTGGAAGTAGAGAAAGAAAATGACTTTTGCTTCCTGGTCTGGGCGCGAGCAGGACGTCGATTCGTCGCTGTCTGTTATTTTGTTTGTGGCACTGGTGGAGGTGCGGGGTAAATACGCCTCGACTGCAGATCTTCAGCCGACACACCGAGCTACTTGGAGACAGCTAAAGCACCCACGGCAAGAAGCAGTCGCCGCCTGCGAGGACTATCTCCCGAATACGGTTCTCTCTCTCAGGACGAGATGGCAACTTCGACTACTAGCTAGGCGAGTCAAACTAATGGCGCCTATTCTTTTCTCCTGCATGTTTTTCATGCGCCGCAAACACCACGCTCATTTCATGGGAACATTTATGATGATGTTGATGACAGGCTTGACCACTTCGATCTAGTTGCCAACATCAATGAATGGGATGAAGCTCGCAAGCTGCGGAGAGTTTACTTTGCGTTAGAAGACTCTGCCAAAACGTGGCATGAGAATCACGCGGGTTTTTTTGCGATGTGTCAAAAGTTCAGCCAACAATTTCATGATGCGTACCGCAGCACTGAAAGGAAAGAAAAAGCAGAGCAGGCCATCTCGTCTCGGAACCAACGACCTAACGAGAGAATTTTGATGTTCGTCGAGGACATGCTTCGACTCTTCAAGCGTGCCGACCCTGCAATGTACGAGGAAAAGAAGGTGCGGCATTTATAGCGTAGGGTAAAAGAGCAGCTCTTTGCCGTACTCGTGCGCAATCCACCGACGACTGTGGCTGAGCTCATAAATGAGGCAACCACAATGGAGTGTACTCTCCAGCATTGGTCGTCACAGTATGAACACCACGACGTGACCCCTGCTGCATGCTCAATCGGGGCTGACAGTGAGAACCATGCTCTCGCAGAGTTCATAAGGAGCGTCGTGCGGGACTAGCTGCGCCAACTTCAAGCAGAGGGACCCCAACCACCCGTAAGTGCTCTCACAGACTTAATCCGAAAAAAGATCCGACAGGTGGTCACCCCACTCGCGCCAACAAGGCCTGAGGCCCCTGTGCTGACCTATGTGGCGGCTCTGCGATCTCTTGCGCCACATGCTCCTGATCCCACCATGCGGACAATGGATCAGGCTAGCCATTGATTCCAGGGCACTCCGCCACCCACCTCAAGGTTTCCGAGTACACCAACTTATCATCCGTCTGGATCGCGACAGAACGCCGCAAAGGCCAGCGTGTGGCGTACGTCGGATAACTGTCCACTCTGCTACCACTGTGGCGAAGCGGGTCACGTCTACCGCCATTGCCAGTACCGCCAACTTGGTCTCCTTGGCTTTCACCCTCATGCTCGGTTCCCGTGTTACGGTGAGCGTCACCGCGACATCGAAGCGTACCTTACGGGACACCAAGCTTCTCGCCTTGGTCAACGCTGCCAAGCACAATCACCATCACCTCGCCGCCCCACGTCACCTAGCGTTCCCTCATCATCTTATGCTCTTTTCAGAGGCTGGTCACCGTGTCCCCACAGGGGAAACTAGAAACCGCGGCTCCTGGGGGTGAAACCGCGTCCCAACCAACTGTCAAAGAGCCTCCCTCGACGCAAAGACCCGACGAAGACCGTTCTGACTTTCCAGTCATTCCCAAAAGTCATAAGACTGTTTGCGCCGACATCACAGTACACGTAGATAATCACGTCGTCAGTGCCCTCGTCAACACCGGCGCCGATTATTCGGTTATGAGCAGCGCCCTGGCCTCCCAACTAAGGAAGGTAACTACCCCTTGGCAAGGACCTCTGTTGCGCACGGCAGGGGGCCACCTCGTCACGCCCACTGGAATGTGCACAGCCCGTGTTCGAGTCCGTGCTTCGACGTTCACAGGGTCTTCCCTCGTGATACCTGTGCGCTCCCGTCCACTCATTGTGGGACTAGACTTTCTTCGCGAACACGGCGCAATTATTGACCTACGAGACTTGCAGGTGTCGTTCGAGGACCCGTTTCATCCTGAACCAAAAAACGCCCACTTATCGAAGGCTGCCCTACGTGTATCTTGCGAATCTGTTACTATGCCTCCCTGCAGCAGCCTCTTCATCAACGTTGAATGTGACCAAGACGTCCCCGATGCTGTAATTGCAGAAGGAAATCTGTCTCTACTTTTTGCGCAACAAATATGCGTTGCCCGAGGTATTCTTCAGCCCAGAAGGAAGCAGGCATGCCTATTAGTCACGAATTTCAGCGAAGAGTATCGTCATCTTAACAAACACAATGTGATCGCATACCTTGAGAATATTGCCGACGTCCCTGGTCCCTCATTATTATCTGCTCTTTCGTCGTGCTTTTTTTTAATTTAGCACTTCACGATTAAACCTATGTTTTCAATCCTAAAAAGTTTGGGACAACTCTGGTTTTTTTATAGCAATTTCAAAAATGCATAGGGATGAATTGAAAGCCAAAGAAAAAAACAGGGCGACACGTCATTTTTTCAGGGTTTCATTGTTCGCGCTGTTTTAACATGATGTACGCAAGCCGACCACAGCAGATAATGGACTTTAGTACAAATTTATTGCTAATGTGCGTGATACGTCCAACTTCGTAGGAAGCATGAAGAGTGTGATAAAGACGACAATGTCTGAGAAGCTCGTGGTCCGCTACCACGATTCTCAGGACAATCACGACCTCGTAGATGCAATACAGCGTTACCTCAAGTGCTGCGGCATGACGTCACGAAACTTTCGTGACTGGAACGACAACATGTAAGTGAGCTTACAACTTCATTCGCAGTTATTACTTTGGAAAACAAGTGTTGGTGCAGAGAGCTTACAATGTCTCAAATCATGGAGGCATTGAAAAACAAGGTTACTTGCGGAAATCTGTCGGAGGAGGTACGGCAATGTACGGATGTAATGAAGCTCTTTGCGAAAGCTGGTGGTTCATTGCATCGATTTGGAACAAAAAAGGAGCAAATTGTCGCCTTCGCACATACTGAGGCAGCTATACGCGATCCTATGTTTTTTCTAGAATAATATTGGTAAGATATGCATTGATCATTGAAGGAATATTCTGAAAAAATGCATATTGGCCACGCCACCTTCAGCGGTTAGCGACTGTTTTATTATTTTCGTGCATATATCAAGGCATTAGTTAAAGGCACACTTAAGAGCGAGGCTATTTTTTGCGTACTAGTGAAGTGCAGTTTCACAATTCCAAAAATGCCAATTTTGCCGCGACTCAGCGCTTGCTAAGCGAGAATACGCGCGAAACAAAAATGCGTGTGGAGACGCCACTCGAGATTCCTGCACAAACGCCATGACGTGCTTGGATTTGAAGACGTGTACTGGTTCCTAGGTAGCTCCTAATCAATGCATCTTCAGTACATTTTCATCTGTGGGTATTTATCAAGCGAATTTCCAGGAAGTTTTATTGAGAAAACGTCTTCAAAATTTCAATAGTGCATGGTGAAATGTTTGACGGCACACGCGTAAGCATCGGTGCGAGAGAGAGAGAGAAAACATTTATTGAAAGAAGCTTATGAGTGAAGGTGGGAGGGTCCCTTATTCCAGGAACCCTCTGACATGGACAGTTCGCCGAGCTCGAGCGACGAGTTGACGCTGCTCGACCAGGTCCGGCTGGGAGATCACAGCCTCCCACGCTTCACTGGGGAGGTCTTGGTCCGCATCTGGTGCTGCTGCTCGTAGTCTTGGGACGCTTACTTTGCACTGCAGTAGGAGGTGCGCCAGAGTGTCTGTCACATTGCAGTGAGGGCAGATGTAGCTGTGCAACGTTGGCCTCATATGGTGCAATAGTACGCCGTGGGTAAACGTGTTGCTTTGAAAACGTCGACAGTCAGTCCCTACGTCTCTTGTGAGTTTTGGGTGTGGCGGAGGGTATAACCTGCGTTCGAGTTGATAATGTTGCAGTAATGAACGGTACTTTAGTGGTATGGCTTCTCTTGCCTCTAATTCTGTGTTTAAGTTGGAGGTGCCTCGAATGTCGTATGGAAATGCCCGGTCGACGCATTCATGGGCTGCGGTGTGTGCTGCTACATTTGCCTCGAGACCTTCATGACCCAGAATCCACACGATGCATGTGTAGGGAGGAGGATTGTCCATGCGCTTTAGTAGCCTAAACGCCGCCGTGGAGACCCTGCCTTTCAGGTAGCTTCGGGCCGATATTTGTGAGTCGGTGAAGACCACGATGGGATCCTCACTCGTCTGGGTGGCGAGTGCTAAGCAGCTTCTTCAGCTGTTTCCGCACGTTTGGTGAGGATAGTCGCCGATGCCAGTACCGCGCCCTTGTAATCTGCGACGGTAATCGCGAAGAGATTACGTCCCGGATATTTGGCTGCGTCCACGTATCGCGCCTGCGGGTCATTGCCAGGATTTTTCCGGATCATGTTAACCCTGGCGAGCCGCCTTTCTCGGTGATGTTGAGGATGCATGTTTCGGGGGATCTGATGAATTTGAACACTTTCTCGTAGCTGTGACGGTATTTTGCCTTTGCGTTCTTCGTTGGGTTCTAGTGTGGTCTGGTATCCTGTGCATCGAAGGACGGCTTGCCCTATGAGTGACAGCTTGAGTCTCTCCACCTGGTTAATGAGGTGTGCTTCGGTGAGTTCTTCCCACGTGTTATGAACTCCCATGTGAAGCAGTCGGTCAGTGGAGGCGGCTGGTGGCACTCCTAGGGCAAGCTCTGTAGCCTTTCGTATCAGCAGAATAAATGTTTGTTTCTCCGCTTTCTTCAGGTTGAGGTAGGAAGTTCCGTACGTCATGCGGCTGTAAAGGAGAGCTTGTAACAATTTTAGGGTATCAGGCTCTTTGAAGCCACTGCGGCGGTTAGCCACCTTTCGGATTAGGTGGGTGAGCTGTGTCACAGTGTTCTGCAGCCGGGATAGGGCAGCAGAGCCAGACCCATCTTTATGTATATGTAGTCCAAGGACTCAAAGCGTGTCAACTTGTGGTATTTGGACTCCCTGTAGAAAAACATGTGGGTCAGGAGTGTCGTACCTTGTTGGTCTACCCCGGGTGCGTGCCGCAAGTACTAACAGTTCTGTCTTTTCCGGAGCACATTGGAGGCCGCAGGTCTTGAGATATCTTTCAGTGATGTTAACCGCCCCTTGAAGTCGGTCCTCCTGTTCACCCATGCTTGAACCTCTTGTCCACATAGTGATATCATCGGCGTATAACGCGTGATGTATCCCAGAGACAGCGTCCACGAGACATGAGAGCATAAGGAGGGCCAAGTTGAAAAGCACTGGTGATATCACTGAGCCCTGCAGCGTGCCTTTGTAAGGGAGTTGAAAAGGCTCGCTCCTGATATTGGCAATCCCTACAGTGGTAGTGTGGTTGGTGAGGAAAGCCAGCATATAGGCGTGTGTCTTGGCACCACAGCCGAAATCTTCCAGGCTACGCAGAATGGCTTCGTGGCTCACAATGTCAAATACGCCCTTTACGTCCAAAGCTAGAAGAGATAGATGACTTACTGTGCTTGCTCAAGCGGAGAAGAATATCTTCCTTTATCTGCATGAGAACGTCTTGTGTGCTGTGAATTTGGCGGAAGCCGAACATGGTGTTCGGGTAGTGACCATTGTCTTCGAGATGTGTGGTGATCCGCTCGTTTACCATGTGCTCAAAGAGTTTCCCAGCGCAAGATATGAGGGAAATGGAACGAAGATTCACAATCGAGATTGCCTTGTTTGGCTTGGGTATCAAGGTTACCTCTGAGTGCTTCCAGGCTTGTGGTAGCTCGCCCTTCCCCCGGCAGTCGTTATAGTGCCAAAGGAACGCCATCAACGCCCGGGGCGGTAGCTGTCGTAGGTGCTTATTGGTCACTCCGTCTTTTCCTGGGCTCGTGTTACGCGTAAGCTTAGCGAGGGCCACATGTAGGTCTGCCAGCGTGAGAGGCTCGTCTAGTGGTTCGTTCGGTGCTGCTCGGTACGCCCTGGTGTCGAAATATTGATAGAGGTAGCTTGCTCGTTAACCGAGTTTTGCTTGAAGTCCTTGGAGTAACTGGTGCTCTGTGCCCTCATAGTTGTGCATGAGCCGTTGAATTGTATTTCTTTGATTAGTTTTAGTGTGGGTGTCGTCGATCAGGGCTCGAACGATGCGCCAAGTCTTCTTTGTGCTCAATGTCCTTTGAAGTTTGTCGCAGAAGGACCGCAAGTTCTGGCTTGCAAGGTTTTCGGCGTACTCCTGTGCCTGTCTAGTAAGTACGGCAATGGGGCGCTTCAGCTTGCGGTTGAGCCTTTGCCGTAGCCATTGTTTAATAAGCGATCTTCGAGCTTCCCATAGGTGAAGGAGATGATTATCGATAGCCGGATTGTCCTCGTTCAAGTGTATCGTTTTGGTATGTCCGTCAGCAACACTTCCAATACTGGTTAACCTGGCTTCAATGCCTTCGATAGTCGAGTCATCATCAAGGTCATTCTTGTAGGCGGTCCAGTTCGTGAGCCAAGCTTTTCCTGGCTTGAGCGAGCGGTGAGCCTGTTCGACCTCTATTTGAATTATGTGATCCTCACTCCCTAGAGTGTCTGGTAGCCTTGTCCACGTTGCGTTGTGCAAGTCTCTAGTCAACGTGAGATTAGGATTAGTATCCCTCGACCCGCTGTTGCCCATTCGGGTTGAATGGAGCAAGTCATTCCACAGCGTCAGACCGTGTTTCTGTACAGCATCGTGAACACGAGCCCCCTTCTTGGTGGTGCTGTGATAGCGCCAGGCCGCGTGTGGAGCATTGAAGTGCGCAACTATGACGAGTCGGTTGCCGTTAACCATTTGACGGAGCTCGTTGACGAAGTGGTCGTTTCGGTGTAACTGCCCCCGCGGAGGGCTGTAAGGGTTGGCCAGGTATAAGCTTTGTTTGGTCTTCCGAGTGGGAACTATCTCCACGATGGTGTGTTTGATGCCAATGTCTTCAATTTCCTGAGCCTGTGCGGTTAGAGTCTTCTTTACTAGAATTGCGGTGCGGGGTGAGCATGTGAGAGTGCTGTAGCCAAGGAGCTCGATTCTTTCTGTGTGGGTTTCCTGCAACACAATCATATCTGGATTATTTGTTTTAACATATTGTTGCATGTTTGCAGAACGAGCTCAGTAGGATCTGCAATTCCAGTGCAAAATCCGAAGAGCGGGGAGTGGCTCAGACTGTTTATGTGTGGGAGCTGCCATTCTGGCAGTTGATTCCCGCCTGGTGCCGGTCATTTGGTGCTGTCGATCGAATTTCCGCTGCAGTTTCATTCCCTAAAGTCTTTCGCTCTTTCAACTTGGTCCCTGATTGCTCCACCAGCTGCTCATGGGTAACGAAATTTTTGTATGCATATGTTATGATGTTATGCTGTTGTGCCATGAAGCCATCAAGCTTGGCGTCGAGCGTGCTTACAGTACGGGTCAGTGGGTCTACCTTTTCCATAATTTTAGTAACCACTTTCTCTATGGTTATGTCTATGGATGCGAGGAGTTTCGCAGTGAGGGCTTTTTTAAATGCTTCAAGGCGTCGTTCGACGAGGTCGAGCATCTTCGCTTCATGTGCTTGCAGCCTTTCTTCTACCCGCTTCATTATTCTGGCTTCCGTCTGTTTTAGTATGCTGACGTCAAGTACTAGTGTGCTACACTCGGCTGGTGGGCGTTGTTGTATCCTTCATTGTAGATCTTGGACTTTATTTTCTAGAGCCCGAATGGTCACTGTCTGAGCAGGCGAGATGGTTGAGGCACTTGTAGTATTTAGAGAACTGGGCCCGTCACTACTGGTCACCGCGGCGGTGTAACTGATTCCCCTAACGGAGCGAGACCGTGATGGCGTGTGGGATCCAGAGCGACATTTTTCTTAGAGCGAGAGCAACTTCTGTCAAATTTTGGGTAAAAAGAGGGGGCCGGTGAAATTTCTGGTGTGTTAACTGACCAGTGTAAATAATTGGTGCAAGCACTGCAGCGATTCTCAAGGGCGCGGGCTTTATCGAGCGGCTGGCGTCTTACTTGATAAGGAGGCGGGTTGCTTCGGAGTTTCTTCTTGCATTCTTTTCCAGCAGTCTCATGGTCTTCTCCGCAGATCTTGCACATCGGTTGGCAGTCATGTGGTTTTGTGTCCTTGTCGTGGCCGCATTTGTAGCAGAAGTTCGCTTTCGGCTGAAGGCAGATGTCTTTTCGGTGACCTATGGCGCCACAGGTTCGGCAATATTCGAGGGACTTCTGGTGTGACTTGTATCGCTAGTCTTCACTCAGGTACGTTACGTAAAAAGGAACGTGCTGCCCGTCAAAAATGAAACTGCAGCAGTGGAAGATTCCAGCATGCGCGCGCCAAGGACGTGGTACCTTGGGTCTACGCGAAGTCCTGCAACAATCTTTGTGGGGCTTGTTCCTGGTTCGAGGCCGTAGATCACTCCGCGACACACATCATCGGTGTGTCGAATGTGTGGAATTACCTGATATAATACTCCACCAAGCTGTCTAGAATTTATACTTTGCAGTTTGGACGCTCGTTCAGTACTTGCTGTGAATGCGATGATCCCATTCTCTACTTTCTGCACCTGCACTCGCACATGGTCATAGAAGTCCTAATGGCCAAGCCACTGAATCTTCCGATGGCATGTGTAACCTCGACGAGTGTTCGTTTTGAAAGATATAGTCCTGGTTGTGGGTGGATACAATTTTCAAGTCATCAGTAGGGATTGGCCGCATCCTAGTGCTGCGTTAACGTTGCAGTGGAGATTCGGCGTCTGGCTTCACAGGTTGCGTAGCTCGTTCTTCGGCTGACTTGTCTTCTTTGGCTGACCTGTCTTTACGGCTAGCTTGATGCCACTCAGTGTGGGTTTTTCCTGTCATTTTGCTAATATTTTCATCAAACGTCCATTGTGATGCCGTTCTTGAGTTACCCTCCGTGTTGTGCACTTGCATCATACTCGGGCTTTCTTGACGTGGGTTAGACGTCTGCATGTCCATGAGAGCGCTAGCTCTTTACCTCAGACGCTGCGTCTCCGTGTGTCGCGAGCAGCGTGCTCGTGCACCTACGAGCCGCTGGCGTCCAGCTCGTTTCGCAGGCCCGTCCTCGTGCAACAGCGGTGTTCGCGTGCAGCGTGGTCTCTGAGTTCCTTGGCGATGTTGTGTCCCAGCGAACAGGCACAATGTGTTCAAAGTTCAATATCTACTAAAAAAGTACACTCTCTGTGATGATTCTGGTGTCAAACGATGCCCTGCAACGTCAGGGATTCCGGGTCACCAAATGCAAGCAGTGTCCAGGCAAGGTTGCAAAGAAAATAGTAGTAAGGGCAGGAGCCCATGTGATTTGCGACTAAAGACCTCAGCCTCCTGGCCACCGCATCGGTGGGAAAATTAACAACCAAACTCCAACCTCAATCTTCTTCGCTGATAATGAGCTTATGATAGTCAAACAAATGCCACCAGAGTTTTCAGAGTGCAGTTTGTCAATCTAGACCAAATCATTGTTTCACAACAGTGTTCCTTTGTTGTCACGGAACGTCAAAACGCATTGACCCGCACTTTCTTGTGCGTTTGTGTTGAAAACAGCACTGTTCTTTTAGCTGTTAAAGATACGAAAAATCAAAGCTAACAGCCCAATACGGCGTATCCAAACCCACCCATAGGAGGGTCTATAGTATCAATGATTGAACAGGTCAGCACAATTAGTGGATATTCGATGCTTGAAAAAAAAAAACTTAACCTAACACAAGTATCCAATTCCTTAATTCGTCTTATCTTCATTTAACTTGTCTTTGCAGTCGCTTCCACTGTGACGCGTTGAACCCGAGCCATGAACGGTGCTCGGTGCCGCCGTCGTGTTGCCACCCCGAGTCGACCTTCACTGGAATCTTCTGTGGGCGCAGCGTACTGAACTTGTCCGATCACGAGGCTTGGTTCCGCGTTAATACGAGAAGCTGCCCTAACGGCACAAACCGCTACGTGAAGGAGCACGTCATGATCATCGGCGGTGTCTGCCTCGTCGCCGTCATTTTGCTGGCCTTCATCGACATGGTCACGAACGCCGTAATTGACGAGATCGACATCATTTGCAAGATATATGACCATGTCAACGGTGCAGAGGCCGGAGTGTCATCCGCATTCACAACCTAAGATGCAATATTCATTAGAACATTTCCCGTTTTTTTTGCTATTTACATTTACACATTCAATGCTTCCTGATAATCAATCTTGTTCACTTTGAAAAATGTTTTTAAATATATTTAGCACCGAAGGCCACAAAAGCGAATAATCGCAACCTAAATAGTTAATCGAAGGATGTAAAAGTTGTGGGGCTTAATTTTCTTTGTTCTACATTATAATAATTAAACTTAGCAGACAATGATGCAAGGAAAGTATATGAAAAAAGAAAAGTAGGCAAAAAGTTACTTGCTGTAAGCGGTAATCCATCTGTTCTCTTTAGGCAAGCATCCTCTTTAGGCAGACAAACTCAGAGTCAGAGACGCTAGTAGCCCTGACTCTGAGTTTAGAACATTTTTCGGCCTGTTGGGGTCACACACCACGTGAATTTATTACGAGCTGGCAGCTGTTTAATATTCACTCGCATACAGCCTAAATACATCAGGCCTTCCAGAACCAAAGCCTCACTATGAACAAAGGATAGAAATCGGAAATTTAACGTTCATTCTTCATTACCCATTCTCCTCTGGGAATATGGATGAGGAATAAAGTGGTACAGTACATGACGTAGAGCTGACGCCGTCTTTGCATAAAAAAGCTTAAATCCACCTAGATAGAGGGATTTCCATTCCCAGAAAAGCAAAAAGGCCTGCGTGAGTAACAGTGTTCTCTTACCTGCTCCTCTACACCGGGGTAGGGAAACGGGAAAGCAACCACACGATGGATAACGATGTTGATTTATGGTTGTGAGTATATACAGTTGCTTCAAGTTCACCAAGTGCTATATTCTACATCGAGTCGAATCATTTACAAGAAGGTTGGCTCGATGCTCGATAACAAGAAGGTTGGCTCGATGCTCGATGAAGAAGCTGGCTCGATAGTAAGTTATTTAGGCCTGATTAGCAGCAGCGGCAGCAAGCCGTGAACATCGTCTCAAAAACTGCTCTTTTTGCAGTGTCGTCTACGTCCGGACCCGCAGTGAACGGAGTGCAAGAAGTGTTTCGCCGGACCGCTTACTGCGAATTTCACGTGGATCTGCCCTTGGGACGAGGATTCACCCGCAAGTCGTCTCTGCACATGCGCATCTAGCCAGCTCGGCACAAGAAAAGCGGAGCACGGCGATCCGCCCACCACTTAGCAGCAGCGGCAGCAAGCCGTGAACATCGTCTCAAAAACTGCTCTTTTTGCAGTGTCGTCTACGTCCGGACCCGCAGTGAACGGAGTGCAAGAAGTGTTTCGCCGGACCGCTTACTGCGAATTTCACGTGGATCTGCCCTTGGGACGAGGATTCACCCGCAAGTCGTCTCTGCACATGCGCATCTAGCCAGCTCGGCACAAGAAAAGCGGAGCACGGCGATCCGCCCACCACTTAGCAGCAGCGGCAGCAAGCCGTGAACATCGTCTCAAAAACTGCTCTTTTTGCAGGTTAGTGTTACTGTGTTTCAATAATATTCAGTTGCAATAGTATTTCTACTGCTGCTGCTGTCGCTGCTGCTGCTATTGGTTTTACTTGTGTACCGCTGGGCACCGTATTGTGGTTGCATAGCTACACTTGAAACAATGTCTCTTTCTTGTAACACATGTAATCTGCTCATCTCTCCTGACGAGCCCTTTGTGGAATGTTGTAAGTGCGAGAACGGTTATCACTTTGGAAAATGCGCTGGCCTAACAGAAAAGTCGTTCAAGGCAAAGAACGAGGCCGCAAAGAAATCATGGCAGTGTCCGTCGTGTAGAAGTGCTAGTGGTGGCAACATGTGCAGTAAAGACAGTAATGATTCTGAAACAGAAATTAAGCTTGCCCTCATGTCAATTAACCAGAAGTTAGAACGGCTGATGCCCCTGACAAAAAAGTTGAAAGCATTGAAGAGTCTCTTACCTTCATATCTACAAAGTTCGATGAATTTGAGCAAAAGTTCTGCCATCAAGAAGCCGATTTAAAAGACATAAAAAAAAGGTGTCTGAGCTTGAAAAAAAAGATGACCTAAATCAAGTAATCTGTGCCCAACTTGAAAAAGAGATGCATGACCTTGAATTTAGAAGCAGGCAGCTAAACTTGGAACTGCATGGTATTAGAGAAGTAGCAAATGAGAATCTTATGGTCACATTAAATGACGTAGCTGACAAACTTCAAGTGCCTCACTTAATGGAATCGGATGTTGCGAATGTTCATCGAATTCCTGCAAAACATGGCAAGGTGCCAGGCATCATTGTCCGCTTTACAAAGCAAGCGATAAGGGACCAGTGGATCAGGAATAAAAAGAACCTTAAGGATAGCCACCCACCAATTTTCATGCAAGAAAATCTGACACGCCGCAATAGAGAACTGCTCCAAGCAACGAAAGAATGCGCCAAAGATAAAGGCTACAAGTTTGTTTGGTATCTCAACGGAAAAGTTCTCGTTCGGAAAAGCGAGGGAGTAAATGCCGTGCATGTGAAGGGAAAGAGCGACTTAGAGCACCTATAGTGCTTCCCGTTGAATGCTTTGTTTTCTTTTGAAATGTAATCACGATGGAGCACATGAGTTATTTTCTTCCGAGTGATCTTAATAAAATTACTTCATGTACTACTAAGACAACATCGTTTAAAGCCATTCACTTAAATGTACGCTCTGTAAAAAACAAGACCATGCGTTTGGAGGAATTTTTCGGTGAATTTTCATTTACTTTTTCTTTGATCATGCTCACTGAAACTTGGAGCACCAATGATTCTGACACCTTTACGATGACTCACTATAAAACTTATTCTCTGAACCGCTCCAGCCTGCGAGGAGGTGGAGTTGCTTTGCTGGTGCCTAACAATATAGAATGCGATAAGCTGGACTCGTACTCTCTGATTACTGATGATTTTGAAATCATATCAGTCTGTACTGGTCAGTTCGTGTTTTCGGTGTGCTATCGTCCCCCTAAGGGAAATGCGCTCAAGTTTTTCCAGTTTTACGATAATTTCCTTTCATTTATAACGGACAGTAAATACACATTAATAGCTGGTGGGGATTTTAATATTGATTTGTTGAAGGATAATTATTTTGCTATGAATTTTAACACAACTCTGGCTTCGAACGGATTCGTTAACCTTATAAAAATTCCAACAAGGGTTACACCAGAGGGTGCGTCTCTTCTTGATCTGCTTATTACGAACTCATCTCAACCAATAGCTGCAACAGGTGTAATAACATGCGCAATCAGTGACCACCTTCCGGTGTTCTTAAGTATAAATAAGATTCCAGCGGTAAAGTACTGGCAAGAAAAAGCTGCATATCAGCGTATAACAAACCAAACCCTGAGTTTATTCTACAACTCAATAACACAAGTTCAGTGGGATGCCACCGGCCTTTCAAATGATGCAAATGAGGCCTACGATAAGTTTCTCTACGTATTCAAGCAGCTTTATCATTCCTGCTTCCCACTAAAAGTGCGCGGATTAAAACGCAAAACGCGCAAACCTTGGGTAACTATTGAATTACGAGAAGAAATTAAAACGAAAGATAAGCTGTTCAAAGTATTCTTAAATACGCGTTCAACTGATGACCTCAAGGTATTTAAGAAATACAGGAATAGGCTAACAAAAAAATTGCGTAAGGCACGAGCGGAATACTACTCTACTTTACTTGAAGTTAAAAACGGTCGCCATGATTTGCTGTGGTCAAGATTAAATCTCTTACTTAGACGGGAACAACCACAGGCTTCCCTACGTATGTTAAAGCTAAATGATAAAGATATATCTGGAGTAGAACTGGCGGAAGTTTTCAACAACTTTTTTACAACTCTCGCCCATAACAGTCCGTCCGATGATTCTAATAAATACATTAATTCTTTTAATAATGATACAATATTCCTGAGCCCTGTTACAACAGAAGAAGTTATAGCAGTGTTACAAAACCTTAAAAACAGTCATAGCTGTGACATAGATGGCATTCAAGTGAGACCTGTGAAACATGTTGCCGCCGTCATTGCGCCTACTCTTGCAGACATATTTAACCTATGTTTAGATACCGGTACATTTCCTAAAAAAATGCAAGTTGCTAAAGTAACGGTTCTATATAAGAAAGGAGATCGCAATGATTTAGGTAATTATAGACCTGTATCCATACTTCCAATATTTTCGAAAGTTTTTGAGAAAGTATTATATACTAGGTTGTATGATTTTATTAATAAACATAGCCTACTATCACCAAATCAATTTGGGTTTTGTAAAAATAAATCTGCTGAACTAGCACTACTCGAACAAAAGGAATATATATTAACACAGTTTGAAAAGAAAGCCTTCGTTATTGGTATCTTCGTAGATTTCTCGAAGGCGTTTGATCTTGTCAATCACACTATACTCCTGCAAAACTTAGAATGTTATGGTATTCGTGGACAGGCGCAGTTGCTCCTGAAATCATATCTATCGCATAGAAAACAGGCTGTTTGCATTGACAACATAAAATCTGAACTAAAGTCTGTTACCTGTGGCGTTCCACAGGGCAGTATATTAGGACCATTGCTTTTTAATATGTATCTTAACGACATTTGCAATATCAACACCACTGCTAAATTTATCATCTATGCTGATGATACTAGCATCTTTTTTACTGGAAATAATCTTGATATCCTTGTTCGGGATTGCAATGATACCATGAGTGAGCTACAAAAATGGTCAGAATCCAAGTGCATGCGTATCAATGAGAAGAAAACACAAGCTGTCGTATTCCGCCCTAAAAATAAACCAGTTCCTTTTTCCTTCGGCATTAAACTGAACTCACGATGTATAGATGTGGTTGAACAATTTAAGTGCCTCGGAGTGGTTTTTTCCTCCTCTATGTCTTGGGAACAGCATGTGGATCACATTTCAACGAAACTGGCTCAAATAACTGGGATCGTAGGCAGGCTCAAATACGTTCTCCCAAAACCAATAAAACTACTATTGTACAATTCCCTTTTTTACTCTTATTTAAACTATTGCCACTTAGTCTGGGGCACGACTACTCCTGGCTGTCTTCAGCGTATCTACATTCTGCAAAAGAGATTCCTTCGTCATGTTCATAATGTACCTTGGCACTCGCCCAGTGCAGATCTCTTTTTGCAAAGTAATGTAATAAAGATCGAGAACTTGTACAAATTCCGTTTGAGTGTTAGGTTTCAACTCGAAACTCTAAAAAATATAAACCATCTACGATACCTTGCTGATTTGCATGCACGAAAAATGACATTTATGACAAGGCATGGAGAGTCTTGGGTTGTGCCGACACCCAGAATAAACTTAGGTCGACAACGCCTGCAATTTACTCTTCCTTCCCTTCTAAATTCATATTTACATAGTGGTTTTGATCTCTTCAGTTCGTCAAAGAATACTTTGCGTGCCATGTACGTTAATATGTAAACTTAGTTTTTTTTTTTTTTCATATCTCTGTGCTTAATGTGAATATTATTTATACTCTATTTTTTAGAGTCTCTTTTGTATTTGTCGATTATTGTTTATTTGCCATTACACTATGTTAATACTGTTGTTTAATGAACATTGCTGTGAAGCTGCTGCTAAGCAAAAGGGTGTCGCGGCTTTGTCAAGCTGTCTCTGACAGCTTTTTCTGCGCCTCCACTGTCTGTACCCCTACAAGGCAGAAATAAAGAATTTGAATTTGAATTTGAATTTGATTCGAGTGAATGCACACTTCTTATTCTCCCGCTGCAGTGCCTCATGCACATCTCACTGTCTTATTATCATCAGGATATAAGACAGGTAGAATCTATTAAGCAAATAGAAAGAATTCATCTTACATTGCTTAACTGACGACCTCACATTGAATATATCGCCGGAAAAGGTGCGCGGGTCTGTGGCGTATTACGTAGCCTAAGCAACTACCCATAAGTATTACAAGAAAACTTCTGTTAATGATATATC